AGCCGCCTAGCTTCTGGCTGGTTTTATTCAAATTCGAAATTTAATAATTAAAGCTAATAAATCCAATTTATTTGGAGTCTCAAATATATGCAATTGATTCCATAGTTTCAATCTATTTATTTTATATATTTATCATAAAACAAAAATCTAATAAAACTCTTATTAGAAACAGAACTCTTATTACAGAAATATTAGAGAAACAATCTCTCAATTGATGATTTATGCCAGATAATTGCCTCAATTTATGCCAGAGTCTTAATAATCGGGAAAGAATATTATTTTCATTAATTGATAAACTTTATTTTTTATTGGAATTTCTTAAAATATACAAGTAATATGACAAATTCACGTTATGTAATCCTTTAGAGTTCATTTATGTATAGTACATGTACTCAACTCAAAATCGAATCTTTTGTATAATTAAAGAAATATTTTCTATGTAAATTATTACTTACATATAATCACTTATTATATTTCTTCACTTTCTATATTTATAAAGAATTTAAAAGCGGTGTACATCGCTGCACAAGAGTACATCGTGTGTAATATCAAAAAAAATTTCAATAAAATGCTTATGGGAATTAAACTTGCTTGTCTTGTTTGTGAAGTGAAAGTACGCGTCTTATATATACTTTTGAAAAACTATATAAAATAAGTAAAATTATTACAAGCTTATACAAATTAATCTTATGAATTAAATGCCTTTTGATTATCATCTTGAAAATACGCACTTTTTTCTTTTATTTTTTTAACTTTCAAAATATTTTTATTTTTTACTTTTTATTAAAAATATTTTGTAATGAAATAACGACTTGAATTTTTTTTTTGTAATCATTTAATTTTCACATGGTATTATCATTAACTTAATGACATAATTATTATAATTAAAAATTATTCATTTTTATTATAATAATGAAAAGAAAAATCAGTAAAAGCAAATTTTCTTAACAATACCTAAAATATTATGCATTTTATATAAGTAAATGAAAAAATAAATTTTTTTATGAAAAAATTATTAAAATTTTTTGAGTACATCCAATAACTTATTGTACATAAAAAACATTTTGCTGGAATTATTAAATTCAATTAAGTGATTACCGAGGCGGTTATACTCGTATGAGATACATACTACATAATAAACATTTTTATTTAAATTGGAAAAAAAGTCTACTCATAGGGTCTCATACGCAATTCTTAATTCTTAATTTCTACGTAAATTTATTTTTTAGGTTCTATTAACATATACGACAAAATTTAACATTTAATTGAAAGTCTGATAAAAGTCGTATATTTAAACATTGCTTGATATTAGACTTCATCTGACAATAAATAATAAAAGATACTGCGTATTCTCATCAGTATTTTAACCAGAATTTTTAGAAGTAAAATGGCAACAATTAATTTTTTTCGAGAGTTTTGAGCAACGTTCATCTGATTTTAATTGTGGCTATAATTTTTGGAACAAAATTATTAAATTTTGTTATATTAAGAAATTAAAGACTGAATTACATCAGATAAATGCAGTTTGATATGTGAACATTATTCATCTGACTTTGTCGTCGTTAGTTTTAATCTTAGATTTTACCCTACGTTCTATATTCGGCGCCTTATACAAAAAAAATTCTTTAATCATGTGTTTTGCGCGACATCTTCCATTAAAATTAGTAAATATTAATTTTAATAGTTAATTAAATTCAATTATACTAAAATTTAAATTTATTATATACAGTATATTAAATTGCAACCATTTTTTTATAATATTTTGATTAATACAATCAGATTATAAATAATAGTAATTATAATTTATTGTTGTAGTTACAGTGCTACCTATACACTTTGTAATTATAATTTGTAAATAAATTTGTATTTAGAGATTTTAAAAATGATTTCTTTCAATTGAAATAAATTGTAGTTTAACACTCACAATTGTATTATAATAAATACTTAATAATAGATTTTTAATAGATAAAAATCAAAATGATTTATAATATGAATGAAAAGTGATAAAAAATATTGCATGACATTTTGTGCTTTATTGTTTAATTTTATTTATTTTTTTTAAAAAAGACAATTTAATAATTATATGTATGTATTCAATTTACAAAAATTTGTTATACTGATATAAAGTATAAAATAATTTTATAAGTATAAAATAATAATAATTAATATGAAAGTGAATTACTATCATAGTTTACATAAAGCTTATTTTCAATATTTTGAATAAAATTTAATCAATTTATAGAAAATGAGAAATAAAATATCAATATTATAGATTTATTTACTTAATTAAGAACGTTTAATAAAATATCGTTTTATACCACTTGGTGTCTCTTTATTACATAAATTATTAATCGAACTAATAGTTTTTAAAATAGCACTTTTCCCTTCAACAAATAAAAATATTGCTTTTAAAAACTATCTATTGAATTATTTAAATTACTTTCATTCATATACCAAAATATTTCAAATGATTACATACTTTTAGGATGAGGTAAGAAAAAAATTTGAATATTTGAACGGGGTGTTGACATAATCATCGAATTCAGGCGTTAACATCGTGAGTTAAAATAAATAATTATATTTTCTGAATGGAATTGTATCATTGAATTTACCATTACCTTTCTAAATTTACGAAGAAGTTAGAATATTTCCCCTGACGAATTAATTTTTTTAGTGACGATCTATTAATATATAAAATTTCAGCTTCGTATCTTAAAGGGTGTACAAGTTCCGGCTTACGGACAGAGTGATGCCCTTTTTTTAAAATTTTTTTTTTTTTAAAACAAAATTGTTTGTTTTTATAAATAAATTATTTTAATTATATGAATATTTAAATGCAATTTGATTACAATGTTGATATAAGATATTTGATAAGTGCATTATTTTATGTACTTAGTAAAAATTTAAATTTTCCAAATAAAAATCTTTAGTTTAAAGTCTCCAAAATTGAATGTAGATGTCGCTTTTTGTAGACTCAAAGTATTTATTACTGTTATTTTCATTGACAGAAAATTATAATGTGAATCGATCATATGATGTCACTTCTAAAAAGAATAATAATAAACCAGTTAAAATAATTGTTATTGTATAATTAAAAAACTCCATCATTGACTTATTTTTGTAAGCATAGCATTTAAATATTTTAAAATAATTAAATTTCAATTTATTCTTTAGTAAAATTGCATCAATCTAAAAGAATAAAGAAGAAAATTGTAGTAAACCAAAAATTTTTATATAATAATTATGTGCTTACTTGCTGTTGCTCTTCCTTATTCACATTTAATGTTATATTTAATTCTTGTTCCGGTGCAAGTTTAATTTCTTTACTTAAATCACCTAATATTTTTAGATGTATTAAACATATTATAATTTTACTTAGATGAAATAATAAAATTAATGCTATTTCTAATTTAGATTCAAAATGAATATCGTGAATTTTTAAAGAAATCATGAATAAAATTAATAATATTGGTAAAAGATTAATTGAAGAATTAAAGAAATGAAAAAATATTAATAATGTTATTAAATTTTGTAATAATTTTTTTAAATGATTAAAAATTTTTTGTAATTTTTGATAAAATTTTAAATTATATTTAATTTTTTGTAATTTTTCCATATTAAATTGCATTTTTATTATATTTAAAAAATTTATATATTTTAATAACATAAATAAAATCTCATTTTCTATTTGAAATATTATTATGTAATGTAAAAAATGTTGAATTTTAATTTCTAATGATCCATCATCTAACATATATGATATTTCGGACAAATTATTTGGTGAAAGTGACGAAATATTTAATATAAACTGTATTAATTTAAAAATTATTAAAATATATTTCATTTTATTATTTTTATATTTTATATTTATTTTCATATTTTTACTATATTTTAATTTTAATTGATTTAAATTTTTGTAAATTATTTTATATAATTGATAATTATTAATTTTACTAATAAATATTAATAGCATTAATAATGGCTTAGCGAAAAAAAAGAGAAAAAGAATTTCATATGTCATTTTTCTAGTAGAAAGTAGTAAGTTCCTTTGAAATTCTTTAATTAATTCCAAAAATAAATTAGATGTTAAACGTAACTCATTTAATATAATAATTAATCTTATACAAATATGAATGTAATTTAATAAATCGTTTTCAGTAAATATACCCAAAAGAAAATATAAAAATTCTATATTTTTAAAATATAAAAAAAATTTTAATCCGATCTTTTTGAACATTTCTTTTGATGTTCAATATGCAGAAACTCTCACAATACGAATATGACAATTAAAATAACAACGAAATTTGAAATTCATTTCTTTTCTTTTTAATATATGTAATTGAAGAACAAAAATCGATTTTGATTTCATTTTATTAAAATATCGAAAATTTTGATTATTTTGTATTAATCAAATTTATTACAAAATTTATTATTAGTGCGAGTATTTACAAAATGATGTCGTTGCATGTTGTTTGTTATTTCTACTCCTCTTGTTAATATTTCTCTAGTTCGATTGTTGTGAAAATGAGAATAAGCTCAATACAACAACAAAAAAAAAATTAAATAAATTAAAAATTATCTCAGTTTAAGTTCAAATATATAGTTGATCATTTATTTTTCTCATCAAATATAGAATTTCAAGCTAGAAAAATAATTATAGGTTCATATACAGAATTAAATTGTAAGAAATGACTTGAAAATATTGATTAGTATTTAAACACTTGAAAAACGCAACTAATTTACATTGCTGCCGACAGGGTTCATTTTCGATTTGTTATTTTATTCTTATTTGATTAAAAATTATTTGACATTTTAAAATTCAAATGGATAACTGATGACAATTTACTTTAAAATAAATTTACTACATTTTTTTTTTCATAATTTTGTTAAATTATTTAAAAATTATTATTTATGTTTTGAAACAATTTAATATTTTCTTTTCAATTTTGTAAAATATAAAATAAATTTTCTAATATTTTTTTTAAATTTTTTATTTTCAGATTAAAATAAAATAATTCAATATTTTTTGAACTCACAAATTAAAAAAAATGGCAAATAAATATATTACATTAATATTTACAATATTATTAATATTTAATAAATGGATACCAATAAATACATATCCAAGTGGTGCTCCTGAATCTGTTTGTCAAACAATGTTACCATTTCATGGAGGTGGTATACCACCGCAAAATACAGCATCACCATTTCGAATAGATACAACATCAACAGTTATTGGTCAAGGACAAACGATGCGTATTGAAATTAATGCAAATCCACCAGAATTAATATTTGAAGGTTTTATGATACAAGCAAGAAGTCGTAATCCACCATATCAAGTTGTTGGACAATTTAGTGAAATACCAGATGGTAAAATTAAATTAATGAATTGTAATGGAGTTGCAACATCAGCAACACATTCGGATACATCACAAAAGAAAGGATTAAGTTTAGAATGGAATGCACCAGTTGATTTTCTTGGACAAATTATGTTTAAGTAATTAGAATTATTATAATATTATTTTTAAAAAACAATTGCATTTATTTATCGTTCAATAATTTTTTTAAATTTTTCATTACGTAATTATAGTGCAACTGTTGCTCAACAATATCATCAATTTTGGACTGGTATACCATCAGAACCAGTACAAATTGTAAAACGTGAAGCAGCTCCTCCAGGCGTTATTGGAATATCAAGTACAAGACGTCCAGTAACATCAACACCAGAAGTTGTTTTTAAACCAGAAGCAGTTGATGCTGTAAGTATTACTAAGAAAAAGACTAATAAATTTTGGAATAATAAAATTATGCTTTCTTGTTTGATTTTATTAAAGCCAAAACAAACAGATCCATTCTATCAGGGTTGTGGTGATACAAAAACATGCTTTGGTGTACCAGATGGCTGTTTAAAAGAACAAAACTGTCGAGCTTTATCTTCAATTAATGTTCGTGGTGAAATTTATGAATTCGAATTAAAATCCACATTACGTAAGTGTCTGAAAGATTTAAAGTAGTCAGAAGTATTTTTTTGCTTCAGTGATTTTTTTTAATTTTTCTTTTAATTTTTTGAATATTTTTGATAATGTTACAGAGAATGCCAGATATGTTGCTGTAGGCATTTCTGAAGATAGTAAAATGGGTGATGATTTGGCATTAGAATGTGTTCAAGAAGGTAATAAAGTTAATCTATATACATCATGGTTAACTGGAAGTCCAAATTATGGTGCATCAAGATTATTAGCTGTAAGTAATTATATACATAATTAAATTTAAAATTCAATAAATAATGTTGAATAATTTTTTAGCCTCAAAATACTGCACGTTTAATAACTTCATCGTATATAAATGGTGTTATACATTGTAAATTCCAAAAAGATCCAAAAACAACAGTACAAGGCAAAACAATTGATTTAATTAATAAACAATATCATTTACTTTTGGCAACTGGTATTGCTTTAAAAGATACCGGTGTTGGTTATCATCAAAATAATCGTTTAGCGACAGCATCACCATTTTATTTTTCTGTTGTACAAGGTTTATCTGGTTCTTCAACATTATTACTACGTTTACATGGTGCTTTTATGGTTGCTGCATGGATTGGTTTCACATCACTTGGCATAGCATTGGCAAGATATTTTAAACAAACTTGGGTTGGAAGTCAACTTTGTGGAAAAGATCAATGGTTTGCTGTAAGAATTATTTCCTCTATTACATAATAATATAATTTTGTTTTTCTTTTGCTTTTAGTTTTTTACCATCTTATTTTAATTTATGTTTCTATAATATTCTTATTTTTAATTATATAAGGAAAAGAAAAAAATAATGATATTTTAATTTTCAATATTATTTTTGTATTTTTTTTAATTTAAAGTGGCATAGAATTTGTATGGTGACGACATGGTCATTAACTATGGCTGCTTTTATACTTATATTCGTTGAAATTGGTGGTTGGTCAGCTGAAGATAATCCCCATGCTATATTAGGTGTTATAACAACAGCTTTATGTTTCTTTCAACCTATTGGTGCTTTCTTCCGGCCAGCACCAAATTCAAAAAATCGTCCAATATTTAATTGGTGCCATTGGTTAGGTGGAAATTTAGCTCATTTATTAGCACGTATGTAATTAAAATAATATTTTTATTTTGTTTCTATTTTTCTCTTTTTTTTTTAATTTTATAAGAAGAAAATAATTTATTAATAATTATTTTATTTTATACTTTTAGTTATTACAATATTCTTTGCTGTTAAATTAACAAAAGCTGAGTTACCTGAATGGATGGATTGGATTTTAGTAGCATATGTTGCATTCCATGTTTGCATGCATTTAATATTTTCAGTAAGTTTTATAATTCGAATCTGTGACAAGGTGTAAATTGTGGAAATAATGTGTAAACTGCTAGCAAAAATACTTAATTTTTTTAGATTTAGTAAAAATTAATGCAAAAAAGGAAATTGGCAAAAATTTCAACGTGAATTATGAAAAATTAGAAATTATTTAATTGTAAAACGGTTGTAATTACAAGAATAGGAAATTAAACAATATTATGACTTTGATTCAATTTTAAAAAATTAATTTAAAGGGCTTAATTCACAGCAATAATAATAAATAAAGTCTAAATAAATTAAAAAAGAAAAATTGTTATTTTCTCTGTTAGCAGCTAACACATTTAAATTTTAAAAAATTGTTAATTAGTAATAAGTATTATTAATAGTAAATAATAAAAATTGTATTATAAATTTAAAAAGTTTTTAAAAATATTGCACATATATGCATAATACAGCAAATTACACTATTGAAACACATAATATTATGCACCCAGTATAAGGAGTTTATAAAATTTTTATTTTAATAATTTTGAATTCGTGTAAATTTGTAAATTAAAAAAAAAAATGTACATAAATTTTTTTTAAAATATATAAGATCAATCTCACTGAAAATCTCAATCTTTCGGGACGTTTTGTTCTAAATGAAATTCTTCTATATTATTATAGTTAAAATTTTTGATCTTAACACAGTAATATTTATTGAATAATTGAATAATTTAATTCACATCACAATATAAATTGTAAATATTATAAAATTTTAATCAAATTAATATTGTAAATATATAAATATTTTAAATAATAATTTTATAAGTTAGTGTTTGTTATATTTCAAATTAAAATTCCGTTTCCTTATACTAAAATAATTAATTATATAATATTAAGAACAGATTATTAATTCATAATTAAATTAAATTAGATATTCTATTGGTTACAGATTGCCGGTTGTGCTTCTGATCGTCATGCATCGAAACGTGTTAATACATTCCCAATGACTGATATGAATGGTAGAAATAATTCAAAACCTGAAAGGAAAATGGATGCACCAGTAAGTCTTATTATTTATATTAAATATTTTTTATATTATAAGAATACAAATTTAATTAAATTTCATTATTTTTAGTTTGCATCATTCCGAAAATCAATGTTAGCTCTATATATAATAGGATTAATAATACTTACTGTTGGATTAATTGTAGTTATTGTATTAGCACCAATTGGAGAATCAATGGAAACATTAAAATCAATGGTTATGGGGGGCAGTAGTTAAACTAAAACTACTATAATAAAAACAATTTTTTTTTTTGTTTTTTTTTAGTATGTAAAACTGAAACAGAATTATTATGTAATTCTTAAATTTTAAAATAAAATTGAGATAAAAACAAACGAACAAAATATTAATTAGTTAGAATTAAAAATATATAAATACACGATAAAAAAAAAAAACTGTTTAGGTAAATTTTGTTAATTTGTACTTATAAATTTAAATTGAAATTCGACTAAATAATGAATCTCATATAGAAACTTGTAAAAAAGCAAAACTTTTAAAGTTAGTATAAATTATTTAATGAAAATAGAGAATGCTTTTAGAGAATAGTTTAAAAAAATATAGAATTATTTTTAATTATATTTAATGATCTATTTTTAAAAAATCTGTACATAATATATAATTTATGGTAATAGATCAATAAAATTTAATTTACATTATTCTATTAATGATCAAAATAGTGTTAACTTTGTTTGTATTTAATTATGATCATAAAAGCACTTTCTTTAAATACTCAGTTACAATTTTTTTTCATGTTTTTTTAAAATTATCGATTTAAATTACAATTTTTGAGTTTTCCATGTTATTGTCTATACTTAGGATTTTATGGATTTAAAGAATATTCTTCTAAAATTTTAAGTAATTCAATTCAATTATTTAATACAGCATCTTTTGCATTACAAGTGTTATTTTTTCAGTTTAAAAACAATTTAAGTAAAATTTTAATATTTTTTTTTTAATTAACAAAAATCTTGATTTTTAATTAATTATTTTTTTTAGTAATAAAATTAAAATAATTATAAATTATATCGTGTATTTATAAAAATAAAGAACAAATTTACAATTTGCATTTTACAAAAAAGCATTTTTTTTTTTTATAAATTTTTGTTTTAATCGAAAAAAAATTTACGAAATTAAAATTAATATGTTTGATAATTTTTGGATTCAAAAAATATGAAATATAATTTAAAACATAATTTAATGTATAGTTAATATATAATTTTGGAAACAAATTAACAATAACAATTTCGATGTAAAATTTAAAATTTAAAAAATAATCGAAAAAAATTAATCTATTTTATTTTTCTTTATTTGTATTTTTATTTTATTTTGTACTAATTTTTCCTTTTTGTGCTATATAAATTATATAAAAAATAAATACTTAAATAATTAATTAATTATTAAAAATCATATTTTTTATTTAAATTTTTGTTTTTTTTTTTTATTATTACATATAATTTAATTTACAAATACTTATTTTCAAAAATTAAGTTTTTCTAAAACTTTTTTTTTTTAATTAAAATTAAGAGCATTTTATGTAAATTTAAGAAAATTAAAATAATATTCTATATAAATATTTTTTTATTTCTTATTTTAAAATGTTAAACAATTTTTATATAAGCATTTAATTTTGTTTTTTATTTTATTTACTTAATATTAAAAGAGATAAAGTTAAATTGCATTATTATTTATAATATTGTTTATAATTATTAATGAACTATGTACTTAAGAAAAATCATTTGAAAAAAAATATTTGAAATTGTTAAATTAATATTTTAAATATAATTAAATTTTGTGTAAATATATGTATTTTAATTATTTTTATGTAAATTTTATAATAATAAAAAACTTACATCACTAATAGTAATAAAAATAATAAGAGATTATGAAAATCTCAAAATTTATAGAATTATTTAAATTTATAATGTTTCTTTTGTAATTTTATAATCATTAAGAAAATAATAAAAATAATCTATATTAAGTGTTTGTCATTAATATTGTTAATTAAATTTTTGACTAGAATCAACTTTGAAGTTAAAGAGGTTGTAAATGTATAGGTAATGCTCAAATTTAAAAAAAAAAAAACAATAAAATTAAAATAAAATTTCAAATTAAAATAGTGCATGAATTATTTCTATACTTAATTTTATAATTATTATTAATTATAACAAATTTTTTAAAAATTTTCCAAGTAATTTTCTTATAATGATATATATTATATAAAGTATTTTCTATATTTTAAAATTTTACTCATTAATTATTGACTTCAGTTAATGAAATTTTAATATCTGATTAATTTGGAAAAATATATTGTCTTTCTATATTCTAACACCTTATATGTAATTAATTCTAAACATTGTTTTTTTTTTTTTATTTAATATTAATTTATTTATAAATAATAAAAAATAAAACTCAAAAACAATAATTATGTGAAAAAACATAAAAAAAGTCGTATAAATTTTTAAACATATCTAAATAATAAGGAGAAAACAATTTAATAATTAATTTAAAAAAAAAATAAATAAAAAAACTTGGCAGCTCATAGACCAAAGGAATAATAAAATTTAAAATAAAACATAAAAAAAAAAATTGAAAAGAATTCAAATAAACTAATACAATGTAATAATGAAAATTCAATAGCAAAAGAATAATAATAAAATTATAATTAAAATAAAAAAAAAATTTATTAAATAACCTTATGCAATTTTTAAAAAATTAAAATAGAAAGAAAAAATATATTAAACTGCCATTTTTTTAAATTGAATTGGATGATAAAATTAATGTACAATAAAATTTATAATTTATAATATTAAAATAAAACTAATTGCTAATGAAAATCTTTTTGGTTTATTTTTTTAGTTATTTTGAATATATTAAAGAAAAAATAAATAATAATTACATAATGTATTTTAATACAAAAAAAAATTTGGGGGAAAATGTAAATAAAATGTAAATTTGTCGTGATTTTATTGGTATTTTATTAAATATCTTTACTTTTAATATTTTCTCATACCGAATATTTCTTAGAGAACTTTCAAAGCTAGAAAAATTGTAATATTGTTGGATTCCCTTACTCATTCTCTAATTTATATTTACCAAATTTCTTTAATATCTTATTTAAATAATTAAAATGTAATTTGATATTAAATTAACTAGATATTAAAGGTTAGATTTTGTGAATTTTGAATCGAACAAGAATACTAGGTCTTAATATAATAATGTAAGTTTTAATATAATAAATTTCTGTTAATAGTAATCGAAAAAAAAACTACTATGTAGTTATTGTGATTGCGACTATAACACTAGCATATATTTGGGCAGAATTTTTATTTCTGGCATTCGACAAATCAATATGACTTTCGTATAATATTTGTGTTAATGACGAAATTATACCAAAACCAATATACATATACTACAATTTAATGTAATAACAGGCGTCAACTTTCATTTTCAATACTTTAAATATTAGATTTAGTAAAATCGTCATTAATATGCAGAATTTTTGAACTGAGTCGCAAAAAAAGTTTGAGATGAAAAAAAAAATATCTTGTCAAATCTTTGACTAAGAATATAGTTATTCTGAACCAATATAGATTGTAACAGGTATTAGTATATCGTATAACGTAATCAGATAACGCATTATGTATGTCTTTTTACATACCCGTGCTTACCTTGCTATTTGTGTTTGCAGATCTTACTCTTCCTTTCAATTATAAATTGTTTAAGATTTTGAAATTATATAATATGCCAAAAATTTCACATATGTACCCAGATTTGTACTTACCCCATCACTATTATGACTTTTGTTTTTTTATAATTACATGCATACATGTATATAGATATATAATATAATATAATACTTTTTTTGTTTTAATAAAAAAAACATTTCCACAAGATTGAAACTCACAATCTTCTTCAATTCTTAATTTTATGTTTTTATAATAGACAGAAAGGCAGTTGAAAATTGCTAAGTTAGAGGTTGCTAGAATTTTTATGTTTTTTTTTTACGTTGAATATATATACCATTTTTAATAAAAACATATTTGTAACTTTCGATTGGCTTTGGTAATATAAATATTCTTATAGAGAAACCTAAACAGATTAAGAATGTTTAAATTAAATTTTAATCTGAGCTGTAAACGAGAAATTACAGGCTTTTGTTCTGAGGTGTAAAAAGTATAAGTAAATAAATTCTTTGATTTTTTGCGATGATTTAAATCAATTCTATCTCACGATAATAATTATCGGTATCGCTAATATTTAATTTTCGATTTTTTTTTTTAGAATAGCTCCCTATTAAAATGGAAATCAAATTATTGTAAGATGATAAATCGTATTTTATTTTTTTCCTCTTTTCAATAACGTTATACAAATAAAAAAAAAACATTAATTTGGTTATATTTAACCCTCCATCCTTCTAACAATCTTAAATACAAATAGTAGTGTAAATACAAATAGTTTTATTGTACTATGCTAATTTTTTTCAATCGCTAAACTAATTAGCAAACTGAATCATACGAAATGGTATAGTTTACAATTTTCTACCAATATTAAATTCTAAAAATGTTGACTTATATATGAAACATTTTTCTATCTTTCTATCAGCATGGCTAAAGCGTGATCGTCAGGTTAACTATAAAATGTAATAAAAGCAATATTCTTATGTTAATTTTGTTACTCGAAAAACCTAAAATAACATTTCGAGATACAATAATTACACTTAACTTTTAATATATAAGCCAACTAACTGAAACAGAGTTGTAAAATGAAAAGAATTTTCGTCGCTTTTTGCAATTTCCTTAAAAATTCTCAAATCTTCAATTAATTCTTAAATTAAACTTCATAATTGAAAAATTAAAAAATAAAAGGATCTAACGTGCTTTGCAGATTTTACAAAATTTGTGCAACTTGCTAAAACGGGAAGTGAAAAAACAAAAAAAAAAATACTTAATCGCTGTCTCTAATAAATTACATATAATTCTTAATTTATTATTATTATTTTTAAATACATTTTGTTTTTTATTGATTTTATTGTAATAAATTCCTAATTTATTAATTTTCATATTGATTATTGTAACATACATAAAAATGTTACAATTCAATTTTCAAAACGTTTCAAGACTTTACAAAAAAAAAAAAAAAAAAAAAAAAAGAGGGCGAATAAAATTAAATCTAAATAAATCTTACACAAAAATTAATTCGATATATTTCAAATTTGAAATTATTGAACTAATATTAAATTTTGTTTCATTTTCTTTTCTCCCAATTATTAAAATTGAAAAAAAAAAAAAACAACTTAATGTAATAATAAAACAAAATAATATAGAATTAAGTTACAATTTTCTTGTTATTTTTTTCTTTTTTTTTTTTCAATTTTTTATAATTATGTATTTTATATATATGTATATATAAATATATATATTTATATATATGTATATATATTAAAGAATGTTGTTGTTACTATTCACTGATTATAATTAAATATTGTATAATTAAAAAAAAAAAAAAAAAATAATATTAAAATTTGCTGATCATCGTTCTTCAAGAATCACAGTTTCTTGAGGAAATAAATTTAAACTTTTAAATGTTTCTGTAGGGTTAATAGTCGTTAAGTCTTTACGTGGCCATCCTGATATAACTTTATATTCTCCGACTGGAAATCCTTTAGATGTAACATAATTTAAGAGAGCCTAAAAAAAAATTTATTTCAAATTTATTACAATATTAAATTAAATTAGAATATTTTAAAATGAATTTTATTTATATAATACCTGTAATTTGTCGTGACCATAAAATCGTCTTTCTAAATTTTCTCCCTGTGGTGTTCTAATACGAATTTTCGTAACATTTTCAGTTATAGATTCATTCGGTTCATCAGGCAACGCATTTTCAGCCTGTTATTATGGAAATTAATTTAATATACAAAGAAGTATACTAATAATAAAGAATAATTATTACAAACCTGCAATCTTACAATTTCCTTTTTAGCTTCCTGTTCAGCTTTTTCAGATTCTAATCGTTTTCTTTCAGCAGCTAACGCTAATTCTTTTTGTTTTTTTGCAGCCTCTTTAGCCATATCGGCTTCTAATGTTTGTTGATATGCCATATCTTGTTCATATTTAACTTGTTCTCGTAATGCTCTTTCTGTTTCTTCTCTTACTTCAACTCTAATATGCTCTGAGTACATTTCTACTGTTTCCATTAATCGTGAAAGTAAGTCATCAACTCCAACATTACCTTAAATATTTAAATTTTTTTTAAATTTATTAATTTTCATTAATAACAATCGATTTTTTTTTTTTCAATTTTAATATACCATTAATCACAGATAATACTTCACATGTACTTCTACTTTTTGCAATAATTATAATAGCGGGTAATCTATCAACAGGAATATTTCTAACTGTAATTGATGCAGTAACTCCAACACATGCTGATATTGATGATAAAAATCTAAAATTGTTTTTATTTATTAAAAAAACATTTAAATTATATATTGTGGAGTTTTATTATTACAAGTTCTTATTGCTCTCATGTGTTAAATCCCATCCATATAATATAAAACTTTGCATTAATGTTTGCATAACACTTTCACAACGTAGTAATTGATCGCAAAAAACATTTGTTAAAACGCTATCATCGTGATGTAAATATATTGCTAATAATTTTCTCTGAAAACACAAAATAGCAAATCTAAAATTTGTTTAAAATAAATGAAGTTTCAATTACATCTCTAGCTGGTTTGTGGCAAGCCTCTTTTAATGCGTCTTCTAGACTACCTTGGAAAAATACTGGATGTGGTTCGCCATATCTTTGCGTATAATTTTCAACAAATTGTATTGAACCTAACGTTTCGTCGTCTGTGTTGTCTGGTACTAAAATTAAAACATTTTCTTTTATTACAAATTTAGTTTGGCAAAATAAATTTAAATGTCTTTCACTAAATATACGAGTACATTTTAAGTATGTGGATAATAAAAGCTTCTATATTATCAACTTTACAAAAAAAACCTGTTTTGCAATAGTAATTACCAGTTTATAATTTAACTAAATATGTAGAAACATTCAAACTACCATGAATATTAGATACTTATATAAAAAAGATATAAAATATTTTTTAAGGAAAATATAAACGCATGAAAAAGGTTAAACTTACTTAAATGTTTTAAACGGGGCTGAGCAGGAGAATCAGAGAAAAAATCATCATCGGCATTAAAATCAGATGCGTCCTCAAACTCGTCGGAGCTATCTGAATCAATATTTACAAAACTAAAAATAAATTATAGAATGAAATATTTTCTTAAATTATTCTTCTTTATATCAAATTTCTTACTTATTACTTCTACTTGGCTTAGAATTATTTTTAGGCTTATCATTGGCAGATGAACGTAATATTAAATTGTGTTGTAGCTCAATACCTGATTGCTGTTTTTAAAAATAGATTAAAAAAAGTATAATACGTGCATATATGAAAGAGTAACAAATAAAAGTATTTTATTTTTCGTACCGCTAATGTTGTTGTATTATTGGACCCAACTGGCCAACCGGTCTAGGAAAAAAAATATAAAATTATTGAATTTTAAATAAATTTTCAAAAATTTTTTTATATCTACCCAATCTTGGTGTCGAACTGGTATATCAGTTATGGAATAAATATCATTTTTAACATCTAAAATGGTTTTTTCACCAGGAAAAGGTAAAGATATTGATTTTCCTTCCGGCTGTTGAATAATATTCAGTGTAAATGTTTCAGCAAATCTTCTAGCAATTTCGAAGCTGTAATTAAATATTTAATTTTTTAAAAATTTACTTATTGAACTTTGATCCATAATGCAATAGTTTTTTTTTTTTATATATTAATAAGTTTATGTAGATTTCAAAACGTGTTATATATATATACATATAATACTTACTTTTCTTCTCCATAAGCATCATCAGTTAAGTCGATTAATATTAATTCGTTCTCAATGGATAAATCCAAACTTGAAAGTACTGTACTTGATAATTGAGCTTCATGAATTTTGGCTGGAGGCCACCCCCTTATGGCTTGTCGGCAAATAGGAACTTTTGTCAGGCCAAATATTCGATCTTTAAGATCTCCTAAAAAGATGCAGTAAGTCATCAATAACTTAGATAGTCTTAAATATAATTTGAAAATTTTAAACATACCGACAGAAGCACTTGATGGAAGTGTAATCGTATAAACTTGCTGATTGAAGTGTATATTAAAAATAATTTCTTTATTATCTTTCTTAAGAGAATTTGGAGTAATGTCTGCTGTGAGATCAATTATATTTGAGTTTGAAGAAGAAGTTGAAGGTACTAAAATGGAATAAATAAAAATTTACTTCGTAAATATTATTGATGAAAAAAAAATATTTTATTATTAAAAAGAATTTACTGGGAGCAAAAGTATTTTCTAAACCACTTGAATTCCAGCGGGTTAAGTTTGAGTTGCTAGAGTTGGAAAAATCATTTTGAACCATCGGTTCAACAGGACTTGTTTCTTGAGGCATAACATTTTGTATGGCAGTCTAAAATAGACAAAGAAAACAAAGAAGTATTTTACAATTAGTCTGATTGCCCCTTCTACTACGTATAAATCAATATATTATTAATATAAAAATTTTGTTTACCATTAAATCCCAGTTACAATTTTCTAAATGTGAAAAAGCTTCCCCAACATCATCTATAGCTGTAATACTCTAAAAAATATTGTAAATATGAGTGAATAATGTTGATAATTTTATAATGTTATAACTAATTTTCGAAACTCCTTAGTCATGTCAGTCAGTGGTCAATGTCATGTTTAGTCGTATAACCTTTGTAATAAAAGTTTTTCTTTAAATTTAAAATTGTATGTTATATTTACTTGAAAATCTGCTAAAATTTGATCTTTATCTTCAGCCATATTATCGAAATAAATTCTTATAATTTATTTATAAATTAATTTTTTTTCCAAATTTCTAAAAATTCTTATTATAAAAGGCCAAATAAAAAAAACACTTTTCGTATGACAATCGACCTACCATTCAGTTGAAGTCAAAGTGATTGACAATTAAAGATGCAACTACTTAAAAATATTTTTGTAGTAAAAAATTGATTGTTTGTGAAATAGTACCAGTGTCCTTGTTAACATAATTTGTAGTTGCAATATATGTCTAGCAGATACTATAGAGCCTTTCTTCTTATTTTAATGGTATATATTATATAAAGTAGTGAAATGTTATTCTTTCATAGGTTTTTACGTAAGTATATTAAATTGCAGCTTTTCCTGTTCGTACAACAGTCATATAACTAAATTTTATTCGAGATTTAAAATACTAGGAATATATTAATTGTATATATTTGTTCAAAATTTATAATTTCAAAATGATTTGTTCAAAAATTTGTATATGCTGTGATATTATAACATGTTCAACTTAAATACTAATATTAAAGTGTATCAATAGTAAAATAAATTATTTCGTTAAACTTGTTGTTACATCCCTATTTTAGACTTTGTGTTAATATTGTCAGGTCAATATTGAAATGACATTTATTGAAAACAAAGAACTACATTATCATCAAAATAAAATTGGGACAATGAAAAAGGAATACCTTTAACGTCAAATGTAATAAGGCGCCAATTGCAGCTGTTAGCAGGAACCCAGTCTATTCATTTGAATAGACTGGGTTCAAGAATGGTATTCACTTATGATAGCGTACAAATTAATATTGGTCAGCTATGTTCAAAATTTTTTACGCAAAACGGCGTTGTGCATATTTCGTATACAATATATGTACTGCGTAGATTGAAATAATATTACTGGAAATCGGCTTGAGTTTTACATTACCCGACAAGTATTATATATTAATTTTTCAAGCTTTCAATCCGTGTATTTGAAGCTCATTTTCAAGTCAAGCTAATAATTTTATCGGATCGATTTTCTCTGCAAATTTCAAGTTAAGTAGCGTTTATATGAAATGCGAAATGAAACTTGAAATGAACATAAAATTTTAAAAACTTAGTGGTGGCGTCGCTGGTGTTGGTTGAACGCAGTTCTGTAGCGTAAAACTTTTTTAACTCGTTTAAATATCCTAGTGACAACCTATTTGAGGGTTTCTTTAGAAATCAATTAAATTGATATTTCAATTTACTTTTTTTTTCTCCTAACAAAATAATTGTAATGCAATAGATACCGTATTTTAAAAAAGTTTTTGATAATAATTAACTCTGACTCTGTGCCATGCAAAAAAATTATTTATTGTGTTACAGTACGCGATTGAAATTTTTTAACTGGGTAAGAATGAAATGTTCTGGTAACACTTGTGCAAATGCCATTATTTTGAAGATAAGCGGTGAGGTTTATGGTTTGAAATTTTTGAGAAAATTTTGTTCAAATCTGATGAAATAAAAATAAGAAAGAATTGTGTGCACTTATTTAAAGCAAGTTTGTTTTGCGAAAATATAAACAATTTACATCCACTTTCATTATAAGAATACAGAAAAGTTTAAATAAAAATGGACGCTGATTTACATTCTTGTGTATGAAGGGTTAGATATTTATTATTATTTGGTGCGAATAATTTTAAGAGCGTTTGGAACGAAATTTCTGTCGGCTATTTCTTTTAGTAAGTTTAAAAACAATCTTATTAGTGATATTAAAATACAGTAATTGTAATCATGCAAGACATAGCAGATGAGAGTGAGCACGATTTGCAATCAGTGTTCAATAAAATATCAGAATCCCTTAAAAGCATAAATCAAGAAGCAGGCGAAATTCAAGGGGAACTATTTTCTGAAAAGGAAAGTCGGGAAGGAGAAAGTTCTAGTTCAGTAACTGACAACATTAAAGTTGCCACTTGTTCCGATTCTGTTAATATAACAAACTCAGATAAAAGTGTAATTGAAAGCTCAATAGAAATTAATACTGAAAGTTCAGGAATTGATAAATTAGTAAAAGAAACAGCTCTAGAAATTTCTAATTTATTAAATGAGAAAGAGGGTTGTTCGAAACAACTAAGTGTTTTTGGGTGTTTGGAAGAGAAATCTGACAAAGCTGAAATATTGCGAGGTGTTTTTTTGCAAGATAAACAGGAAAATGAACCAGAAATAAAAGGCAAGGATCTCAATTGTGAGAATACAGAAAAAATTGAAAACGAGAAAATTAAAGAGATTTATAGCAGCAAAACTGGAGGGGAAAATGTTCAAAAGCATGATACTGAAAATATATTTAAAAAGAGTTCCAATTCTGAAACTCAGGAAAAAAATATTTATGAAGATCTTACACCATCAAATTCAGGAAGCGAAACTCAAGAAAATGAAATGTTTTCGTCTGAAAATGGTCAACCTACAGATCAAATAGATAAACTGAAATGCAATCCTACACTTGCAACACATATTGAAGAAAATATTGACAATTTGCAAAGTAATAACGCGAATTTGATTTATGAAGCTGAAAAGTTTGAGTCTGAAGTTAAAGGTTCAACAAAATTTGCAAATCGTGAAACAAAACAGTCCTTAGATTCTTCTTTAAATGTGGAAGAAAACTTATCAAAGGAATTTACAACCGAAAATATTCAAGTTAGTACAGCAGAAATACCTGTGATACCTAATACAGTAGATAACAGTGGCAAAATTATAATAGAGAAGTTAGTTATTGATAGGATCAATAAAGATAAAGAAAAAGAAGATGAATTATTGAATGAAGAAATTGAAGAAGCAACTAATCAGACAGAACGTAAAAAAAGGAAGATAGAAGAAATTGAGAAAAATGAAAAACAGGGGCAGACTTCCAAGAATGAAAAACAAATGGTACAGTCACAAAGTATTGAATTAGTGACCGAAGAAAAATCTGAAAAAATTTTAAATAATAAAAAACCTGTTGTAGAAAATGATAAGGAAGAAGAGGAATCTAAAACAACTGACAGTATGGAAGAAGAATCAATTCACAACGAACCCCTATCCGACAGTAAAAAGATTAAGATAGAAAATGATAATGAAAAGGAATCTTTAATACATAATAAAATAAGTGTGTCAGGCGAAAGTTTGAATAAAAAACCTGCAAGTGATGCGATAGAGCACGAAATAAATCAGAAAGGAAAAGAAAAGAATGGGGCAGAAGAAGAAATTCCTAGCTCTGAAAGGTTGGTTGAAGCAGAAAAAAATAATGAGGCGGAAATCAGCGAAAATAAAGAAAAAGAAAAAGAAAAAGATAAGGAAGAACCTATGGTTATTAGTTTAGATGATTCTGACGAGGAGAAAATTGAAACAGAAAAATCAAATGATAAAAATGAAATCTTACCGGAAAACAAAAACTGTGTGGAAGACGAACCGATGGAGGTCGAAACCGAGAATACAGAAGAAAATCGTGAAAAAGTTGATACCACTGAAGCTAATGATAAGGAAAATATCGCCAAAGATGGTGGTAGTACAATAAGTTCAACGCACACGGAATCTTCAGGTACTGTTACTTCTGACATAATTATTAATTTAGATGATGAAGATTCAAGTGATGAAAAATCTTCGAAAGATAAAGGAGTTGATGAAACTTCGGTTCAGTCAGTAGAAAATAAAAATGATGAAGGCAAAGAAGAAGCTTTAAACTCAACAGACTCAAAAGAAACCAACATACCAACAGATGACATAAATTCTATCGAAAAAATGGATATTTCTGAAGGTGAAAATATTCAAACTTCAAATGAAAAATCTAAACTCGAAAAACCAGACTGTAATGTTAGTGAGTTACAATCAGAAAAACCGAGTGAAGACAACACAGCTTTGGAGCTAAATGTATTGGAAAACCCAGTAGAATCTGTGGAAAAATATACATTTTATAATAAAGAATGTGTTAATTATGAATGCAAGAAAGTTTGCCAATTGTACTATCTAGCACCAATTTTTGTTTTACATTTTTATAAAGTCACAATCAAACCAAATTTGCAACAATATGTTTGCGATGAATGTTATGAAGCAGTTGTTAATAAATATGAGGAATGGTGTAATTTATTGGAAACTCATCAGCCACTTTTTCTAACAGAAGTTCCACGAAAGACTAATGAATTTGTAGAGATTTTAGATAGCAGTGACGAAGATGAAGGTGGAAAAAATAGTGATAACAGTAAGACATAGTATTTATCTGAAAATGCTCTTAACTTTAAACAAATAAATTTTAGAAAATAATGAATTTAGTGAAGAGACAATAGACATGATTCAAAAGGAATTGGACACTGTAATTGCTGGTGTTTTGTCTCGTACAGAAGTTCAAAATCAACTTACTTGGTCGAAATCTTTGCTTGAAAATCGTATTGCAAAAATACAAGAAAGCTCGGATTGGATAAATGATACATTATCTGCATTACAAAAGAATGCTGATAAGATGAACAATGCTCTTTATCAGTGCCCAAAAATTGAAATGAAAATTTTAGCTCCTCTTGATTTGAATTCTGGAAAACCTTACGTTCTTGGTGAATCAACTCAAGCAAACCAATTAACAGTAAGTATTTTTAAAAATGAATTTAAATGATAAGTTCTATATTAATATCTTACGTTATTTTTAGATACCTCCAATTGGAGAAATTTATCGACCTCCGATTGTAATTACAGGTGAATATTTTGCTGCTAAGAATAAAGTTATTGCAAGCTGGTTAGCGTGTACTGTTGTTGAAATAGTTGACCCACCGTCCAATGAAAAGCAAAAAAATATGAAATATTATAAAGTAAAATTTTTCAAAATGAAAGTACCGACGTATAAATCAGTGCCAGCCAAACATTTAGCATATGCTGATGTACCCAAAGTTCAATTATCAATAGGTATTAAATTAAAATCGATAATGTCAAATATGATATATATATATATATATAAATGTCTTAAGGTACTCGAGTTATTGCGCTTTTTGATGCTTCTACCCTATATAAAACAAAAGAGTATCATAATGATATTAAAAGTGCATTTTATCCTGGAGTTATAGCCGAGGCTTTGCAACCTTATAATAATTACCGGTATTTTTGTCAATAGAGAAAGGCCTTTCTAAAAAAAATTGAATTTTGGTTTTCATTTTATAGGTATTTAATATTTTTTGATGATGGTTACACACAATATGTACATCATCGCGATGTTCGCCTTATTTGTGAAGTATCTGCTAATGTGTGGGATGATATCCATCCAGGATCAAGAGATTTTATTCAAAACTACTTAATAAATTATAAAAAAAATCGGCCGATGGTACAAGTCAAAAAGGGTCAAAGTATGGTTACAGAATTGAATGGGAAGTGGATTTATGCTAAAGTTGTTGATGTGGATGCAAGTCTTATTCAAATGCTTTTTGAAGGGCAAAAAAATCACACAGAGTGGATATATCGTGGATCCACTAGGTTAGGACCACTATTTAAAGCAATTCAAAAAACTAACATTCCACAAGTAACGAGATTGCCAAGGGTAATGACAAACTATAAAATGAAAAGAAATTGATCAAAATATTTTAATATTATTGATTTAAATATTTTAATTATATTATTTATTTTTTTGATCTAAATAACTAGCGGAGTGAGCCATTTGTTCGTTACATGCAAGATGATGAAAATGCTAAACAACAACAACAAAATCAGTCAAATCCGCAAATTGAGCCTGCGCCACCTACAACTCACGTTCGATCACAGGTTGCTAGGAAAAGTACAGCAAGACAAGAATCTCAAGAACATTCGGCACCTGCTACTGCTGTTAAACATTTGAATAATTCTACGATATTTGTTGATGACGAAGAACCTAAAGGAACTGTAAGTTATATTCATCATAAAGCTATATTAAATATGATAAAATACTAATGATGAAAAATAATTCGTTTTAGTTAATTTATTATTCTTCAAAGAGTGAAAATAATCCACCGCCCAGGACTTTCAAGCCACATATGTGTGGTCCACATTGTATATTGAGAGAACATTTTGAAGGACATTATGGGGTCTTATCTAAACCTCTTCTAAATAGCTGGGAAAGATCTATTTATAAAATTAAAAACAAAAAAACAAGTGTTGTATATAGAACCCCTTGTGGTCGTAACTTAAGAAGTATAGAAGAAGTTCATAAGTACCTTAGACTTACAAGGAATGAATTAAATGTTGAAAACTTTGTTTTTGATCCTGATGTGGGCTGCTTAAATGAGTATCAAGTAAAAAAATGTATTGTTAATAAAGCCGTACGTATATAAAAGAATTTTGAAATACCTATATTAATATTTGTTAATTTATAAATTACATATCCTTTGCAGGATATTACGGAAGGACGGGAAAAAATTCCTATACAGTGCGTAAATTACTATGATCATACCATGCCTCCAGATTGTGAATATTCGGCTGATAGAATTCCAACAGAGGGAGTTAATTTGAATGTTGATCCAGAATTTTTAGTGGGTTGCGATTGTAAGGATGACTGTACCGTAAGTGATATATCAAAAATACTTGTCTTTACGATTTAATATATTTAATATTTATAAGGACAAGTCGAGATGTAGCTGTTGGCAATTGACATTGGAAGGTGCAAGATATGGAAATCCTCATACACCTTTGGAAAACATTGGATACTATTACAAGAGACTGTTAGAGCCTGTGACAACTGGTATATATGAATGTAATTCAAGGTGAAAAAACCTGATTTATTTTGAAATGTTATTTATTTTGTTTCATTTGTTATTGCAGATGTAAATGCAGCAGCAAATGTATTAATCGCGTTGTCCAACATCCTCTAGAAACAAAATTACAAGTTTTTAAAACTTCTAATCGTGGATGGGGATTACGTTGTATTAATGATGTTCCAAAAGGTGCTTTTATTTGCATATACGCTGGTAATCTGTTAACGGAACAAAGAGCGAATGAGGTAAATTTCGGATGTTATTTTGAGAAGTGCCTTTTAAAGTTTCATTAAAAAGTAATTTATATCGTAAAAAATTTATAATCTTACATACAAGAATAATATTTATGGATTTACTCTTGCTTTTACACAATATTAATTTTAAATTTTTTACGATATAAACAATCATCATTTAGTGATGCTTATCTCAGAACAAGACGCAGAAATTGAAATACTATGAAATTCGATTTTGGTTGTTTTTTGATTGTTTCTTGTTATATTGTATATAGTGTGGTGATGGAGATGAATATTTCGCTGAGTTAGACTATATAGAAGTTGCCGAGCGGTTAAAGGAAGGATATGAATCTGACGCTCAAGAAGATATAGAAAGTGATGAATATGTCCCAGAACGTGATTCAGATGAAGAATTCAATCCGAAACCTTCGGAAAAAACGTCCGCCGCATTAGTAACGACTCGAAATAGAACTGCTACAGCTAAACGTAGTAACAGTAGTACAACTAATGGCACAAATGATGACGATGACGAGCAAGAAAGACAAGCTATTAATTTTGTACCCAATACACAATTAGAGAATTATGAGGAAATTACAACCAAATACAAGTTCATTATTTATTTTATATCGCTATATGAATTAAGTAATATATAATTTTTTTAATAGATCGATGAGAAGATTATTTGGAAAAAACGAATATTGCTATATTATGGATGCCAAGAGTATTGGTAATGTTGGAAGATATTTCAATGTAAATTGTATTTTAAGTTTTAATGATTTATAAAGTAATTAATTTATAATATTTTTAGCATTCGTGTTCACCAAATTTATTTGTACAAAATGTTTTTGTTGATACACATGATTTACGTTTCCCTTGGGTTGCATTCTTTGCACTTATAAATATACGTGCTGGAACTGAACTAACATGGAATTATAATTATGAAGTTGGTGTTGTTCCTGGAAAAGTATTATTTTGCCAATGTGGGGCTGCTAATTGTCGTGGTAGATTATTGTAAATTTTGTAAAATTTATTATAATACTTTTGTAAAATTTTTATTCAAATATTAAAAATTTTTATTATTATTATTTAATATAAAATGTACAAGAATAAAGTAAAATTCAATAGAATTATCATGACTTTAAAATATATTTAAATATTAAACACATTTTTTTAATTCTAATTTCTATTTTAGACAAAAGAAGATTGTACAGGTACATAATTCTAATTTTTCTTTTATATTAAAAGTGATTTGAATGTTTTCTCATTACTTTTATTTGGTAATTTCTATACTTAAAAAAATTTCTTGTTTACAAGAATTTCAAGAACTCTTTTACTCATGGAAAAGAAATTTATCGATCTGGAATATGCGTACCGTTTCCTTTATATCTTATAGTACACATGATTAATTATAATTATTAGATATGTACATATGTGCTTTAAAGCATAGCTAAGACAATTGTTCATAAAATCCAGATTCATTTCAGAACGTTTGGCCTTTTTTTGTCATAACAGAACTTTTTAAGATTATAAGTAAATCCTATTTAGAGTTGTGTTGCAGTTATTTAAATCTGATTTATAGACGCTTTATTTAACAATCGCTTAATTTGTGAAAAATTGGGTTTTCTCAATATATTACATTTTTGATTATTGGTATGATAAGGTGTTCGATGTACGGTTACCAAAAAAATATAACTTATGTGTGAATATAGTATGCGTATGTAGTTACAAATATTTATAGGTTACAAACGAATTTTGAGAAGAATCTTGATAATACCTGTGCAATTCCTTAAACTACATGTACATAATTTTGCTTGTACTCGTGTCAAGATTATAGAACTTGTAAAATTTGTGTAGAATTAAATAACGGTGAAATCAAAGAAATGACCCGTCATGCTTTTGCAATATAAATTCACTAGTACATAGTAAAAATTTATTTAACAAAAGTAAAATTTAAAGAATGTGAAAGGTTTCCTTCATACAACAAAAAAAAAAAAAAAACAATAAATAAATAAAAAAATTTAAAGCTAAAACGTTGAATGATAAATGATTTTACGTTTATCAACAGAGGTCTTGTATTGAAATTTTATAAATTTTCCCGAAAAAAGAAAAACAAACTTTATTTGTTGTTTGTTATTATTCTTAATCTTCGTTTTTTTTTTTTTTAAATATATTAACACACAATCTTTTATCTTTTGTATTCCTTAAAATTTTTGTTTGCACATAAAATACACTAACAGAACAATAAGGAACATTTAGTAATTTTATCAGACAATATTCTATTTTTTTGGGTCATTTTCCATTTCTACACTGTTAAAAATTTGATAATTGTTTTTCAAATGAATCTTGTGCGGGTGTACCTCTATATTTAAGATTTTTCGTATTAAATTAATTAAATTTCCAATTGATTAAAGAAGTTATTACAGATTACCTAAAATTCTGATGCAAAATATTTATATTTTCATTTATATACGATAATTTATATATGTATTTAGTTGTTGCAGATTATTAACATTCAATTTTGCATAAAATTACCATTTTTTTTGTGGATTTCAAAAATTCCTTCTTCATTATTTTAATATTATTTATTTATTGATTCTATTTTAATTAAATTTTTAACTTTATTCAACACTAATTATTTATTAATTTACACGAATAGGAGAAAATGTATCAATTTCATACTTAAATTTTTTACAGTGTAATGCACATAAACATGAACAATTAATTTGTAAATGGAATTGAAAATATGAAAAAAAAATTTTTTCTTTAAATTTTATTTGTTAAAATGAAAAAAGAAATTACGAAATTTAAATTATTTAATGTTAAACTTAAAATTCTATCCTTTTTGTCTTTAAAAGGAAAAAGGATCATGAAGAACTTAAAGTATAAGAGGGAGACATAGAGAAGGAAACAGTGCTTACCAAAACGGTTCGAAATGAATTTTACAAAAGAAAAAAGTAATAAAAAAAAAAAAAAGAACCGTTTTATTACAAAATCTGTAAAACTTTGTGATTGATTGAAATTGTTCTTTTTTATTTTATTAAATTTTTATTTTTTAGATATTTTTTTGTTTCCTTTTCCGTAAAGATACTTTGATGAATGAAAATTGCCTAAGACTATATTGCTAACTTTATAAGGATAATATGTGCACATAAAACGGTACAAAATAATAAAATTCGTCTTGTTTTTTTTTTTTCATTTGAACATACAAAGGAAAACATATAAAGTGGAACAAACAAATAAAAAAAAACCAAACAAAAAACAAAATAAGGAAATTATAAATTAAATAATTTTTCATATTGTGTTTGCATACGTGCATAAGTTTACACATTTGCACATACCAGTGATTCCCAAAGTGGTCTATATAATCCATGAAAACCTGCCTGGGGTCTACGAAATGAAAAATAAATATCTGATAATATTGACTAAAAAAACAAGTGATTTTTGTATAAGATTGAATTTATTTTTTAGTTAGTCTGGCTCATGTAAGAATTACTTAATTTTTATTTAAATTAAATAACTAAATTAATTAAATTTAATAAAAAAATATGAATTTAATTAAATCAGTTTTCACATCATAGGTGTACCTTACTACTATTAGAAATTTAAATCTATCAAAGAAATTAGCAGAGGGGATCTATCAAAAATTTAAAAACACGACAAGGAGTCTACGAGAGAGAAAAACATTTGGAAACCTCTGGTACATACATATGTAAATAATTTACGATTAAGAGTAATTTCTTAAAGATTTTCCGACATTTTCAAGAATTTTTTTTTGTTCAAATATAAAAAAAAGAACTTAATTCATAAAAAATGTAGGCATTTTTATAAGAAATCAAAAAAAAAAACAAAAAATGTTAATAAAAATCAAAAATTTTATACAAGAGAAAACAGTAACTAACAAAATAATAATGTGTTGTGTCAGGAACAGGATATGGGTGGGTATTATGAAATTAATTGGGGGATGTTTTGATTTTTTTTTGTATGATTTCTCTTTTTTTTTTAAATAAGTCTACTTATTATTATACATAATAATTTTCTATTTGTTTTTCTTTATTTTAATTGTATATAATAGAGAGTAGTTGGATGCTATTTTGTGCAGAGATAGAAAATAATATTGTACACCCATACAATTTATTTAAGCCAGAATATTAGAATAGACAGAAAAATTTTTGTTACAGTTAATAAAAATTCATTGCTATACGGAGAGAATTGTAACTATTAATTAATGTTTCTTACGTCATTGAAAATTTTTTTCATATTTTAAGGAAGGGAAGCACTATAATTAATTTTTATTGATACATACATACATACGTATGAAATTTTTTGTTTTAAATTTATTATTTTGAAAATGCAAGTTTTTTTTATCGTAAATTGTTGCGTTTATTTGACCTTCTATATACACCTTTAAGATGATTGTTAATATTAAATGTTGTTTGATTAATCATAATTAATTTATTTTGTGTTTTGTTAAATTACATGAATTTTAAGGAAAAAAAAACATTACCGATAAAGAAAAATAATGGCAGATTTTTAAAAATTCACTTTTTAAAGTTAGAACTTTTCTGCTTTTGAAGGTCAATGTGTATGAAAATTAAAAGTTAAATTTTTAAAGTTTTGCAATTGAATAACTTTTAAGAATTGAATTTCTAACTTACGTGATAAATACAAATAAGACTTATTAGATCTTTTTCTGTGGTTTTCATGTAATATAAGTAAAGAAATCCTTAGGAGTGTCAAAATATGACTCCGAAAAATAGAAATGTCTATACATATTGTGATTCGTTAAGATCCTATATAAATAGGGCTAGTGTAAATGGACTGCGAGTCATGAACAATCCTGCGGCTAGAGGAGAAAAGAACTATAGTTTCCTAGTTACCCGGAAATTTTTTTTTCTTGTATTCTATATTCAAAATTACTTCGAAATTTTGGCCGCTTTAATGTCAATTAACAATCTCAATCAATATTTTATATATATATACAACTATAACTCCATTAATAATATTTTCTTGGAAATATTACCCTTGTATTATACACTTGTAATAAATGATTTTACTTAAATAACTCGTTTAACTTGGTCTAATTCCAATAAATTTAAAAATTACTAAAAATAAATTATAATTTTCAAATAAATTCAATAATTTTAATTTTCTACTTCTGAAATAATATATTTAAGGTTAAATTCAATGAAAATTGTGTGCAATTATATTTGACTATTTAAAGTTTATTACCTAAAAATATTATGCGTACATATTTTCATACATTAATATTTTCTATATAATTTCATTCAATTTAATGTAGGTATTCTAGAGAAACGAATTTAAATAAATTCAATATTCAATTTTGCTTTTATATATACATAATTATAAAAAAAAAAATTAAAAAAATTTTAATTAACATGGTGACACTGTCATCGCTCGCTCATAATATTTTGTTCTATGTGCATTAGTAATTTTTATTGGGGTCATTAATATTTTTTGTTAATTTTGCATATTTTCAAAGTTTTATAATATTTATGTGTTTTGAAACTAGAAATTTTTAAATTATTGTAAATTATAATTAATACAATGTGCGATTAATTAAAAATTTGCATAGATTTGCTTACAATTTTCATTTATTGTATTTTTATTGCTGAATAAAAATTTAAAATTTTTGAAAATATTAAATTGAGGCATTCGGCACATTATAGTGGCGTATCCAACATTTTTGCAAAAATGAGTTATTATGTTCAATAGAGTTGTAATGGGCTAATGAATTGTTCTATATTTTCAAAATACTTAATTTACTCCTCTTTTCACTATATTTTAGGCATAAGTCCATTTTTTGCCGCTTTTAAAAATTAAAAATTTTCTTAAAAAATTAAATATTTAAATATTTCAATTGCAATTTACTCGAAATGTCATTTTTGCAAATGGACCATTAATTTGCTGAACGCCTCCATTGTAATTGTTATAGTTTTTTATGGGTTCTAAAGCATTCAAATTGTGTATGGTTTGTTTATACATCAAAAATATTGTTAATGGATTTTTTTAAGGAACCGATTCTCTATATCTTTAATCATAAACAAAAAATTTATATGGACGTTTTAAGAACGTATACCAGATGTTTTGTAAGTATTTATTAGTATAC